AGACAGTCTGATGGAACAGAAATGTATGTAGTTTTTTTTTTGTGGTTGCTATATGCATCAATTAAATTATTAGTGGTAGATAATAGAAAAATACAGAATAAAAATATATTTGTGGTAGGGGTGTCTTTTTAGTAAAACCGGAATATGTTTGGCTTTCACTGTATAAGTTAATCACTGTCATATAGGGAAAAAAGTTCAGGAAAGTCATAAAGGAAAAAAAAAGGGAAAAAAGTTCAAAAAGCTGATCATTTACTAGAAAACTTATTCCAGATTATTAAATTCTTTATTTTATTAAAAGTGCATATTTGACAATGCTGTATTTCAGATTAAGAAAATCAAGTACACTGAAGAACTGAGTAGTAGATGATCAGTAAACAATTTTTTCTTTTTGTTGTAAAAAGTACATCGTTAACAGCCACACTGCCTGTGACACCAGAGGCGTGTTTTGCCTTTCTCATGGCTTTCCACTTCTGCAGGGACAGGAGCATCTTGTATATACCCGTTACTTGGAGCAACTTTGAATGGCTGGTATTTTCTGGCAACAGAAGTGGATGATATGTGCTTCAATTATGCCAAGAAGAATGTGGAACAGAATAACTTGTCTGATCTCATAAAAGGTATGATGCAATAAGGTATTTAGTGGCATACAAAGATGTTGTGACGTATTTTTGCCATGTTCAGTGGCGTATCAGAATCTGTATTCCTGCCAAATACACACTCTGCTGTTTTTACTGAAGCAGAATGTTTGCTGAGGTTGGCGTACGCTTAGGCTAGGAAGGCACAGCTTGTCTAGAATGGGATGCGTGGATAGGGAACTACTCATCCTTACGAAAGTTGAACTTCACCCTGGGGTGTTTTCCTCCCTCCATATTTTTTTGTCGGTTACTGAAGTATTTCTTAGAGTTTGTGCTGTTTTTGCTGCTGGGAGACCTGGGGTGCTCCCCTCAGCTAATTTGCGTGACACTGCCACATAACCGTACAGAGGGAGTCCTTCCGCCTCATTTCTGAGTTAGATCCTAGTGCCTGTGGTAGCAGCAGAATGCCAGGCTTGGTCTGTGGATGACCTTGGAAAACTTTCTGTGGGAACTTGGTATGCTAAAAAGCTGGTCCATTATTCAGCTCTGAAAAAATTCTTTACTTCTGCTGGATTTCGGCATATCCTTTTTACCAAAATCTTGTTGTTTTGCTCAGTCCTCCATGTCAGTCTTGAAGATCCCGTACTTGATGCGGAGAACAATGACAGGTTTCTGTTACTGCTGCCATCACAGGATTTTTAGTGGTGTGGTGGAGTTTCACTCTACTGAAAAAACTTCTGGCAAAGGGAAATGCTTCATGTGCCGAAGGTGATAAGCTGGATTAAATGACTGATTGCTGGTGGGCAGAGGGGAGCACCGTTGGTGGTACCCATAGCCAGGTGCTGCCTGGGAACAATCCACCCTGTCTGCCACTTTTTAGTTCTGGGCCTGAATTGTTTAGCTAAAGCCAAGTATGCTACTGTAGCAAGGAACTTGTTTAATTTTGGAGTCAGATGGGAAATCTTTCTGCACCTCTGTTTTTTAAAAGAAAAAACAAAAAACCAAACAAACCATGATTTTTTGTTATGTTCTAAGAGTCTTGAAATTTTTGCAAAACAGCTTTGTTTGAAGATCATGTTGGAATATATGTGTTATTCTAACTTCAATGAAGAAAAACTTCCAGTGATAGTAAAAGCAGCAGTAATGCTGTGGTGATTTGCTAATTGTGTTGTAGCTTCTTTTTTCCAGAGGAAAAAAAAAGTGATGATTTTTTTTTTTTTTTTTTTTTTTTTTTTTTTGGGTGGAAA